AACCATGTGAGGTGCCCAAATTTGAATACTGAAATCACTACCCGGTTGTTCGTTATGTTTCATCACGGGAAGACTGAGAAAATATCCAAACCAACAATTTCATTAAACAGCAATTTTATTTAACAGGCCTCTTAAATATGGTAAATTTCCTTGTATATGCGTTTAAATATGCATATTATATTACTTTGCTATTCTGACACACAAGTGCCAGCATGTTGCTAAGGATGTTTTATTGTCTACCACAGCATATTAGAGTTAAAAATTAAATAATGAATACAAGTGCAGACTTCGACCTTTAATTTGAGGGTATTTACATTCAGATTGGATGAACAGTATACGAATTACAACCAATTTCAATTACGCAGCCCCCGTTCCTCCTTATATAGGGGCTCAAATGTACTTGGATAATTGACTGTTTTACTTTACATGGCAATGCTGTCCTAGTGATACATAAATGTATGGTAAACTGCATCCAAGAGGCCTGTAAATTGGCCTCAGTTTGCTTATGAATAAACAGCTGACCAACAAAACATAATTATGGTTGGATTTTGGTCTCAAAACTGGTAATCCCTGTGCTTGTGTGTGTGACTTAGAAAGATAGCAATGTAATCCTTAAGAGCACACTGCGCGTGACGTAAAAGCAGATATGACCACAGCACTAACATTTAATTCAGGGCACGCTTCCGTCTGTTTTATCCGTTCATTCATCCTGCAGTCCAACACAGAGTGATCAGGTGAGTGAGAGAGAAGGAGCAGGGATGAGGGCAGGGTCAAAGAAGATCAGGTACAGGACAGGAACACAAGAAGGTAGATTTCCTGTCACTTTGAATCAATTCCTTTTGGTTTTGCAAAGCTTTGGTTCCATGAAAATCACAAGTGGAGGGACGGTTGATGTCTGAATACATTAGGACTGCATGAGCACACATACAAAGTCAAGTACAAAGGAGGGATTTCAGAGCAGCAAACAGAGAATCAGAATGATCAATAGCAACATTAGAAAACCAGATTATTGAAGTATTATTGAGATTAAGCTCGATGCTAACTTTATTTTCAGTAAGCATTATGCCTTTCAAGCACTTTACAGGGGAAATCAAATAAATAGTATCTTACCGTGATTGGAACCAGATGTCTAAAGAGATGAACGCCTCCGAAAGCTATATCTCAAAAGGCTTTTATACAGAATGATTATGAATATGTTGTCTGACATTGTTTTACAATAGTATATATTTTACATGGCACATGCTACCAAATTGGTCCAAAGTCAGAACTGAAAACACATTTCAAACACAGAACACAGAACTAAAATCCTTTTTCCTTGAGTAACCTTATGCCTTACTTATGTTTACCTTATTAAAATACATAACTGAACATTCCATTTTGTCACTACCAGTATAGTAATAATAACACTGCCTACCATCTGTTTCGATAGTGACAACATTAGCTAATTTGCACAACTCAAAAATGCTACTCAGGTCATGGCTAGCAAACACAGCTCTGAACAGTTGTAAACACATAACATCATATTTTTAGTTATATGCAAAAGTGCAGAATATGTGTTTCGATAATGACAATTCTTAAGGTTACACACTGATTTTCAGACTTCGGGACACATTTACTTTAAAAACAATGGGATCTAACTGCTCACCATGTGGCCACGAGGGACGGGGTTGCAGTCTCACTTCCTGCTCTAAAATGCAAGGGTATGGTAGAATTAGTCTCCGCCTATGGACTAAAACTTCATATTTCAGTAGTGACATGAAAATTAGAGACAGCATTTTTAAAACAAAGTTGTTTATTTAAAAATGAGACTCATGATAAATATAAATCTTTCAACTTCACTTTAAAATAAATCAAAACAATCTTTTTGAAAAATAATAAAGCAAAAAAAAAGCATTATTTTCACAAGTTAAAATCTATTACAGAGTAAATGATGAATTTGAGCTTATTACTATGTCAATTAAAGCCATGTTTTTTTATAGTTTGCTTTGAACTACATTTATGGTGGAAAGGTACTGGAAAGATACATGCAGGCCTTTATAAGGCAAAGTAGCCCCACAAAGAAATCTTATTTTTTCCACTGTTTTACCATTTCCAAAATTACATATATATTTTGGATAGAAAATAAAATGGCTATATTTTGCGTTATAGACATTGCGACCCCTAGTTACTATCATCACCATTCTAAAGATATCTGAGCTGTTAGGTTCCTCTGCAATGCACCATTTTACATCACACCATTTTCAATGACTCTGTATACATCTCAAATGTTAAATTAAACAGAAATCTAAAAATCTGTGGAATTAAAACCCCCTTAATATAATCATATAATCACATGTTCATACAGCAACAACAAAAAACAACGTCAGTTAAAAGGGAGCTTCAACATTTTTCATATACTACATATTTATATGCACATATATTAACCATACAGAAATACACCTAAATGTACAGGTAGCACATGTGATATGAACAACACTGCCAAAGCTCATGGCTGACAATTTTTTTTCCAAGTGCTAACAACTAAAATGCATTAATGCAAACATAAATCATATGAATAATGAATTACAGGCATTTGTATGCAGGAACAAATTAGCCTGGGTTAATCAAAAGGACAACCATGTATGTCACACATACTTTCTTTTGTTTATATTTCATATGCAGCATCCATAGAATAAAGAGGAATGGCAGTTTTGACCATCTGGAATACAGGCTGCGTAAGTAACATACATTCAAACATAAATATTTTTATCTCTATTTAGAGCAGATTTGAAAAAGAAAGGACTTCACCTGATGCATAACTGTGCTGCTGTTAGAACATAAGGAGTACAGCAGTACAAACTTTACTGATGATGATTTGAAACATTCGCCATTATGACTCACGTTTCATCCTCTGCAAGCCAGTTGCAACACAATTACAGCACCAGTTTGATATTCAGAAAGTGATTATTTCTCAATAAACATTGTCACATTAACTGTCGTTCTGATTTAAGAGCCCGAATACAATGAAGAACCACACTGAGAATTACACTTCTAATTGAATGCGACATCCTCATCTCCAATGTACCATGCAGGTCAAACAGACAAATTTTGCGCAATGCTGAAGTCAATCAGAGCTTTAATTTTAATTATAGGCTATATCTCGGTTCAGATGACTCATCCTCATTTGAACACCTTCTGAAAACTACAGTACTGTGCAACAGACAGAGACCTTAATTTGATTAATTTCCAGTCATGATGGCCATTTAGAACACATTATTCATTTGCAGGAGATTCTTCTGAGTTCTACTTCTTAACTTACAATTAGTCACTTTAATAAGAAAGGAGAAAACCCAATGTAAAAAAAGAACAATACAGTCTTTCCAAAACTGAGTTTAAAAAACTATTTAAAGACACACTCCTAACCTCATAACGTGGTGCAAGACATAGCAGACCACCAAAGCTGTTTTCATTTTCTGTGAGAAGACAACTCAACGCAACGGGTCTGAAAGAATGTGTAGCTACAAGAAGCCGTTACTGAAAATAGTACATAGACAAAAAAGAAGGAAATTTGCAAATCAAACAGAAGCTGCTAGTGTTCTAAAAACGGACTGGCCAGTCCAGAGTCCAGACCTCACCATCAGTAAATGTGGTTGGGATTGCTCGGATCATGAGAAGCAGAAAATGAAAGCAACTTCTAAGACTGAACTTTCCCTGAAGATTTCTTTTAAAATCTGAAAACAAGTCTCCAGAGGCTGTAAAATGATACTGCTGGCACAATTGACTGGAAATTAAATAAATGAAAGGTGCTCTGTGACTTTTGAAAAGTACTGTATATTTATTTATTTGTGAGTATTATTGTATACACTCACTGGTCACCTGATTAGGTACACCTACCTTGTATCTACATTATTGTGTACTTTATCTGGTCCAATAGGTGGATTTTATAGTTCTGCATTTACAGACTGTAGTCAATCTGTTTCTTAATAATTTGTTAAGCGTTTTTAATACCCAGGACCACCACGGTGCGGGTATTATTTCGGTGGTAGATAATTCTAAGTACTGCAGTGACACTGTCATAATAGTGACATGTATGTTAGTGTGCATGTGCCGCACAGAGCGGATCACACACAGCAGTTTATTGGAGTATTGAAACAACTCAGCGCCACTGCTGGGCTGAGAAATAGTCCACCAACTAAAAATATCCAGCCAACAATGTCCTGTAGCCAGAAACCACCAGCATCCTGTGGCCAGACCACTGAAGGTCCAGTGGAAGACTTTACAGCAGATGAGTTATCAGTCCACCATCTACACAGTGTACTAACAATATAGGTGTGTTTAATAGAGTCTTTAAAAACTCCAGCAATAATGCTCTAGCTGTTCTACTTGTACTGGCACAACACTAACTAAAATACCAAGACCACGTCAGTGTCACCACAGTACTGAGAATGTGATAACATCCAAATAATCCCTGCTCTGTGGTGATTCTTACCATTGACCATTACATTATGCAGAGAAACAGATGGGCTGGATCTCCAAATTCATGGAAGCCTTTTTTATCACAGAGCATGACGTGTGCCGTGTTTTTATTGGATGAAAGGTTGATCAAAGTTAATTAAATTGTTGATGCATTTGAATTTCAATAAAGCATGTTGATGTGAAAAGTCAGTTGACAACAGATATAAAGTGTTTATTGTTTAGCCCAGTAACAGGTGATTAAAGTTACCATTAAATGAAGGACATCTCATTTGTCAGACATGTTTGCCATCAATTCCTCCCTCTTCCCAGGAATTAGGAGGAGCTAAGATACGAGGAAATGATGCAAGCAAAGGAAACAGGGGCATGCAATTAAAGATATGAGATCCTCCCATGGATTACAATTTGTCATTGTAAAACCACAAAGGTCACCTATATGGTAAATGGACCTGATTCAATAAACAATGAATTTAAATACAAAGTAGGTATAAATTAAAAAAGCAAATGAGTCTATACGGGCAGCTTATTTTGCTGCCCTGACACATCTATAAATCTTATTTAACCAATTGAATCTACTAAACATTATGAAGTACAGTTTCCTTCCATCTTTGTGGAAACATGCCATGGTTTCATTCATTATACACTACATTCATCTAGCATGACAATTTCAAAAGCAGAGGACATACAAGGTACAGTAAAAAGCACACAAGCACATTTTTGTATATCAACACTGTCATTTTTGGTTGTGGATCACAGTAACAGTTGTTGCTCATGCAAATGTATTAACTTGGTGTTACATTCATTCAGTCTTCTCTCCTTCAAAGGTCTTTTCATATGTGCTTAGTTTATTAGATAGCTGTGCTATCTTTGAAACATTCATATCATGGTTTTGAAAACCATTTCTCTCCTGTCCACTTTCTCTCTTCAGTAGTCCAGTCTTCTTAAAGAGTGCCGCCTTGCAACAACTGTGCATCAATAATGCGCGGATGGAAAGAGAGGTAACAGTAATTGCTGTTAACACCATCCCAAAGTGCACTACAGTGCCTCAGCCTCTTGCCTGCATGCATGCAGGAATATTTGTGGAGCTGGAGATATGGAGTGATATCACTGAGATCCATTTTAGTGTAAAGAATCATTTTAAGCAGACAACATAACACTCTCCAAATACGTATCCATCTCATTAAAAAAAAGCCTTCAGCACACCTATCTTTTCCATAGGATCTTCCCAAGGATCCTTTTTGAAAGTCTGTATTCAGAGCTCACCAAAGCAGCCTCTGCTGTTGAATTCCAGGACAACAAACCAAGAATGGATTCTGCCTAGCCCATTAGTCCACAGAGATTTAATATTCCCTCAGACATCTGTAGCACTGAGATGGGCTGCTAACACATCCTGGGCCTCAAGCGCCTTTTTGGTCTTGTTGCGAACCACAGTGGTGTCATGGCCCTCAGGGTGCATTGAATCAAGTCTCTGCTCACAGCGAAAGACGGCTAGGAACGCACTGCGGTAGTTTCGATTCATCCAACCATAGAGAAGTGGGTTGGCAAATGTTGAACACATGGCTACAATATGGAAAACAGTGTACAAAAGCCTAAAGTCCCTCATGACCAGAACACTGCTGTCAATGTCAATAGCCAGCTGGAAGGCATGGAAGGGCAGCCAGCTCACAGCAAACACCACTACCTGCAACAGGAAAATTCATCACAAAGCCTCCAACACATGTAGTATGACCAATGGCTTTATCACAGTAAATTTACATAAATTCATCTGTCCTCTCAAAAAAAAACGTTCAAAGAAAGTTATTTTAGAGTGTGAATGATTGTGAGTAGGTGACCTGTCTACAAAATATAACCCCATTTCCAAAAACAGTTGGGACACTGTGCAAAATGTAAAAAAAAAAAACTAAATGCAATTATGTGAAATTCATTTAAACGCTGTATTTCATTGAAAATAGTTCAAAGACAACATATCAAATGTTGAAACCGCAAAATTTTATGTTTTTTGAAAAATATATGCCCATTTTGAATTTGATGCCAGCAACATGTTTCAAAAAAGTTCAGATAGGCCAAACATAAGGCTGATAAAGTTGTATAATGCTAAAAAAACACCTGGTGGTAAATTGGCAACAGGTCAGTGTGGTGTATCAAAACAGCATCTCAGAGAGGCTGAGTCTTTTAGAAGTAAAGATGAGGAGGGATTCACCACTCTGTGAAAGACTGCACAAGCAAATAGTGCAACAATTCAAGAATAATGTTTCTCAACGTAAAATAGCAAAAAAAAATTGCTTTTCATCATCTATAGTACATAATATCATTAAAAGATTCAGAGAATCTGGAGAAATCTCTGTATTCAAGGGACAAGGCCAAAAACCAGTATTTGCTGGCCATGATCTTTGGGCCCTCAGGTGGCACTGCATTAAAAACAGACATGATTCTGTAGTGAAGATCACTGCATGGGCTCAGGAACACTTCTGAAAAACACTGTCTATGAAAACATTTAGTCACTGCATCCACAAATACAAGTTAAAACTCTAAAATTCAAAGAAGAAGCCATATATAAACAGGATCCAGAAACACCACCGCCTTCTCTGGGCCTGAGCTCATTTAAAATGGACTGGGGGAAAGTGGAAAAGGTTCTGTGGTCTGACGAATCAACATTTGAAATTCTTTTTGGAAATCATGGACACTGTGTCCTCCAGGCAAAAGACCACTCAGCTTGTTATCAGTGCACAGTTCAAAAACCAGTATTTATGATGGTATAGGGGTGCATTAGTACACATGGCATGAGTGACATGCACATCTGTGAAGGCATCATTAATGCTGAATGATATATACATGTTTTGGCAACATATGCTGCCATCCAGACAACATCTTTTTCAGGGAAGGCCTTGCTTATTTCAGTAAGACGATGCCAAACCACATTCTGCATTGCTCCATATTAAAAGAATCTGGGCGCTAAACTGGCCTGCCTGCAGTCCAGACCTATCACCCACTGAATACATCTGGTGCATTATGAAATGAAAAATATGACAAAGCAGACCCTGAACTGCTGAGCATCCTATATCAAATAAGAACAGTAAAACATTTCTCTTTCAAAACTACAGCAACCGGTCTCTCAATCTCAGTTCCCAAATGCTAACAGAGTGTTGTTAAAAGAAGAGGTGATGAAACACAATGCCCCCGTCCCAACTTTTTTGAAACGTGAAATAAAATTTCTCAGTTTCAACATTTGATTTGTTGTCTTTGCACTATTTTCAATGAAATATAGGGTTTAAATGATTTGCACATCATTGTATTTTGTTTTTATTTACATTTTGCATAGCATCCCGACTTCTTTGGGTTGTACAAAAAATCCTTTCTAGGACTTCATCAAAAGAAGGAAATAAAATTATATAGAAATAAAAATATAAGATGTAGATCCAACATATATATTGCCCATGTTTTGTATGTGATGCTAAATATGTTTTCTACTGCTTGTCATTGGTTCAGGGAATTAGTTTTGCTAGCTTTCTTCACAATATGCATTATAGCATATCAAAATCCAGGTTATTTCTACTGAAAATACTACAAAGTAGTATTGACTTAATAGCATTACATACCATGGTGACCAACATCTTGGTGGTCTTACGACGACGATGGTGACGGTCATTGCGGCCAGCTGGGCTGATGTGGTTGCGGAGTTTACTCCATATCCGGATGTACGCAAAAGAGATGACCACTAGGGGTAACACATACTGCAGCAGCAGCATGGAGATTCTGGAAGGAAAACAGAATAACATTAAAGCCTCAAAACTACAATTAACAATAACACTGCGTCAGGAATTTGCAAGCACACCTGATGCAACATCAAATTTAACCACACCTGTCATGGCTCCACCACAGTTTGCCAACCATGAATTCTAGCGCAACTGTTTCTTGTGCCTGGTTTATGTTTAGAGCTCTGAATAGTTATTTGAGCTGTTTGTTGTTATTAATAATACTTTGTATGCTTGTATCTGCAACCATTTCATATCCTACTTCAGCAGTTACTCACGCCGGTCCTGGAGATCTACTTTCCTGTGGAATCTAGTTTCAACCACAATCTGCCACACCTGTTGCAGCTAATTAAACTCCCTGATTGTTTGGATCAAGATGGAACTAAACTCTGCATGAAAGCAGATGTTCAGGAAGAGGGTTGATGGTGACTGTCCTGCATGCCTTACCCAGGTACACAATTTATTCCCAGCTAATGCTTCAAAAGTAGCTTTTATTACACTGCTTTTTATTGGCAGAGCCTGGGAGTAGACAATGGCCATGTCGCACTAAAAGTCGGTGTTCCATCACTGAGCTGAGGTAAGACAGTTAGAACAACTCGTCAAGCTCATCCACAAATCCAAATTAGTAGATAGAATGTTCTCTAATAAATGTACATGTACAGATCCATAGACTGGCCTGATAAGCTGATGTTGTGTCTTTCGAATAGCTCGTCACTTTGGTCATTTGGATGACCTGACGCATGAGAGTTCTTGCTCCAGTCAACCCTGAGGTACAAGCAATGACAATGTAACTCTAGAAGAATTGAGAACACGTCTCTCATCAGAGGAAAGACCGAAACACGAGATCTATGGAATGCATCACTGAGGTACTGTGGCAAGAATTCATCAAACTACCTACTTTTGTACAGTAATTTTGTACTGATGAAATGCATTTTTTCTTAATAGAGAATAAGGTGTATTGAAGCCCTTTGTTGACTACCAGGGCATTAAACGAGACCTTGGTGCTATCCACTGCCTGTGCCAGCTGTGCAAGGCACGCAAAATCTACACCAAAATAGATCCCCATGGCATGAACAGCTTTATCTAGCTTTGGGATGGTGACAAGCAGAACATGGCCTTCAGTGCCATCTCACTATTTAGTGATGCCATATAGATATGGTCTGGGGTTTGAACAGAGAAAAGCAAAGTTGCTTGAAGACAGTAAATTTGTTATAATATAATTTGGGAACATTTGAAAACCATGGCCGCATCCTGCACTGCATTTCACCCTTTCGTACTGTATACTAATCATAAGAATTTAGAGCATATTTGCAAAGCCCAGAATCTTAAAGCAGAGGCACTGCCATGGAGCAGAACACCACCTTCAATGCCATAACCAATCAGCTCCTATGCTCTGGCAGCTGGATAAAGAAATGCAACTCTGATTCACCTAAAGCAAAGCCTATATACGTCCTCACCTGTCCGAGCATGACAAAAAGTCCAGCCCAATGCTACACTTGTGGAGAAAGCAGACAAGACTACAGCCTGCTTGACTGAGTACTCAATTGGATTGGGATCACACAACAGTTATTGGGTTGGTTGTTGAGGATCATTGAAAAATCACTGAAATGCATGTCCAGTCTTGGCCTCGGAGATCTATCACCCTAGGGACTGAACACTACGGTTGGACATAAATTGTACATGGTGGTAGATCACCAGGATCAGGATTTGGCACCCCTGCTTTAGTTTATGGACTAAATTCACAGTAAACTGTGTCTTTTCACTGAATACTCCTATTTATAATGCATTAATGCAGCTCCATGCACCTGTGCTGGTCCCTGTGTGTGTTCCTATGTCCACGTTTGGAGTGGCACAACTCATTACTCAGGCCACTGTCGCATAGTGCATACTAGCCTCGGTTACTAGCCTCTGTTGTTCCCCTGGAATCCAAGCCAGTATGAGGTACTGGCAGTAGATGATGGAAATATTTTGAAATGAACTTCCAAAGTTCCACTATAGGGAAAGTATTTATGAAGCATCTCAGAAAAGAAAATCACTCTTAGCTCCCCAAAAACCTCTACAAGTGAACTAAAATGGTTCCCAGGATCCCAGGTGATGTATGGTGATGAAAAAGGGGAATTCACAAAAAAACACAAGTCTCAAGTCTATAGCTAAGAAAGATGAGAGTGGCACAATTTAGCTTTTTATAGTTCACACAAAATAAGGCACAGAAAGGGTCTGGAATTCAAAGTGGAATTTCAGGTGGTGGAAATTACTTAGTTTACAACTGATGTTTCTCCTAGTCATTATTTCAAAATAATTAACTTCCATGAGTAAAATGGTGGATATGACATTTAAATTAAACTGCTTAATCTGGTAAATCAAACCGCACAATCACAGGGCAGTGCTGAATAAGGAAAAAACCAAGAAAGTGCATGAAACTTGAGGCATTTACTTACGAGTAAAGAGTACCATCTGTGCTGCTCCCTGGCCACTTCTCCCCACATACTTCAATTGATTCACCTGGTGAGAGATCGACAATCCCATACTCCCTGAAGATAGCGAGTGGGCTAGCAAGTACAGCACTTATCACCCAGGTGACAGCAATGACGAGAAAGCAAGTGTCTTTTGACATCCGAGTCTCCAGATGATAAACGATACATCTATGTCGATCTAGCGCAATTACATTTAGGGTTATAGTGGAGACATGGACAGCTAGACCCTGTGCATAAGGTAAGGTGAAGCAAAGTATTTGTCCAAACTTCCATTCCCCAAGTAGAGTGTAGGCCAAAGTGAAGGGAAGACATAACGTGTTGACGAGCAAGTCTGCTACTGCTAAGTTGGCAATGAAGAAATTGGTGACTGTGCGGAGTGTCTTGAATTTGCAAACCACGTAAATGACAAGGGAATTCCCTACCACGCCAAGGAGGATGATGGTGCTGTAGGCCAGGATAAGAATCACTTGAACTCCCAGCAGCTTGGTGCTATCTCCCAGTTCGAGTAAAGAATGGGTCAATGTGGAATCAGGTGAGTTGACTTTGTTAGTAATGACCTCAGCCCTCAAGGAGCCATTGACTATATTGATGCCATCCATTGGTCACATTATCATGATGATCTGTGGAGAAATAGGTAGTTATTTCATAGAATGTGAAGATCTTATGCTCATTTAATAGGAAACTATTTCTAATTTAATCTCTCAGTAAGTAAGTAATGGCACAACACCAATGTACCTAATTTCATACTTCACTACTTGCTTACATATTTTCTTTGCATTCTGCCTGAATTTTGCTTTGCCTGTTCCAAGCACAAGTTTCAAAAGATGTTATTTCACATTTCTAAAATATTTTATGCTCAATTCTTCAAGAGTTCAATCAGTGTTAGAGTTGGCCCACAAAACAAGAGCTTTGCAACTGGAGTATTTCAACTGAACTGTGATGTTTTTGTTTTTAATCATGATATCAGCTGTGTGGAATTTGATGGAAATGTGTATCTTGTAACAAAAGAACAGTTTCTAACCATGTGTCCTGGGAACAAGTTCCAGTGTCTAAGCAATCATGAAAAACTGTAAACTATACTCCTAAGATTTGTTTCATTTTGCACTAAGCCTTGAGTAATCAAAACAAGACTAAAAAGGCTGCATCAGTTTTATTTTCTTCCTGTAGTTCAAACTATTCTGAGCACAATACTGCATGTAAGACTTGTGATCAAATGGTAAGTACAACCTTTAATAAACATTAACTTTCATAGGATTTAAAAACTACTTTAAAATCTCTTCTGAAATAAACTTCAATATTTTTTATTTCATGTCATGTTGAAAAGACACATGCATACCAAACACAGGTCTATGGAAAAAAGGCAGTCATAGACTGACGTGTACATTTGATGAAGAAACTTTGACATTGTTTTGGTATATAAATCACCCATATGTGAACGGTTAAAAATGTACTTTAGGAAATTAAATTTAAACACAAGCAGTTTTAAACATATTTAGCTGTTTGAAGCCACCAGTGCTGAGTGGAAAAATACCAACTCTTCTTGTCTGCAAAGTTTACACAAACCTTCAACATATTAAAGAAATCAAAAAAAAAGCTCTCCATACTAAGTTACTTCATCTATTTGTTTAACGATTTGTTGTTGACCATTAAAAGCTTAATGTTTTGCCATTTTGGGTTTGGCCCCTTTTTGCCCAGGAGTGTATGTCTAGTGATACATTTGCTTTGTGGCCAGTAATTACTATTCATGTCGGTTTAATAATGATATAGAGCCCTAGACCCTTTTCACATTACCAGCTTCCCACTTCCATTGACAAATACCACCACTTAATATTACAACTGTTAATGCAAGCTTTAGTTTATCTGGAAAGCAGCCTTCCTCTTCACTCATGCCTCCTCCTCATTAGATATCAAAACCTTCTGATAATATCTTGACTTTTTTATGACCAGAATATTTCTTGTTTTCAAATGTATTCCACTATGTGCGCTACTAGCCAAGCATCTTTGAGGCATTTTGTTAATACTGCCATCAGCGCCACAAGTCTAAAGAAAATAAGCCATAACTGGTCTTTCACTGCCTCCTAACAAAGTATGCATTACATCCTAATTTTCAAGTCAGCTGTTATGATCAGCTAATGTAAGATTATCATTATTCACATTTGGCCATGACAACATGACTCAAGCGTCTCTTGGTAAGTTCAATTCGTTCACTGACATTAACATGTAAAATACACTATTTATATTTATATAATTTTTCAAGATGTGCTGCAAATATATACAATGCTTCACCTTAAATAACCCTCTAATATGGCTGTTTTTGCTTAGCCTTAAATGTTGACTACACCATTAGTATTGGTTAGACTGGAAACATTGTTACCTGCTTTCAGTAACCAATGGAAGTAGCAGCCCAGGAATGTCAGATGGGACTGTTGTCCAAGGAATGTAGACTTATTTTACGTGTTTCAGTAAAAACAGCTTGGGATTTAAACTTGTTTTAAATAATGATTACTAGCCTGCAGTAATATATCAAGAAGAAAAAACTCATAGACATTGTTTTTGCTCAAGCCTCACACTGGTAATTTCTGACATGATTACCCAAGGTAGACACATCGCACAGTCTAGAGATCTGTCTGATTACAGAACACTCAAATCGTGAGTGTAATCAAGAGAAGGCCCTCGCAGACATAGGCAGCCTAGCTCTACTGCTTACATCTCAAAATGTATATATTATTTTGTCATCTTTGTAATATAAAACTATAGACAGGTACATGTAGAGGGAATAGCCTAACAAATCTGTAATGCTTTTGCGTATAAAATAAGAAGAATTTCAGAGGAAATTCTTTTTTCAGAGGAAAGCACATCTTGATCATAGACAAGATGTGCTTTCTGTTACACAGAGAAAAAAAACCTTCATGCTTCTGATTTTCTAAGCAGCAAAAGTATTACAGTTTTGTTAGGCCATTGCCTCAACATGCTTATCTCAGCTTACAGCTGGAAAATAAAACTGAGGAGCCTTCAACATGGTGTAAAATGTCCTCAAAATAATCAGGGCAGAGGCATGCAGTGTTGTGGAAGTCATGAGTTCTGCAGTCCAATGGGCAAATGAGTGTTCATTTAAAAATTTCATTCGAATGAGTTAAAAGGTTTTCTCTAGTAATGTTGCTATAAATGCATACCTGCCACAAACACCGCACTTTATATACACTGTGCCATCTGTTTTTTTAGTATCCACTTTCTGCTGCTCTTGAGAGTTGCCTGAAGGAGCCCTGAGTGGCCAAAAACAGCACAAGGTTCTTTTGTTGCCTCTCGCTGTTTCCAAGTAAGAGGTATATAGATCAGTGAGGATGATATCTTGCATAAGGGTGCATGTTTTCTTCCCTCACTAAATTGCTTCTCTCAGTTACTGTTACAAGCTAGACTGTAATGACCTTACTGCAATTTTGCATTGGAATTTCAAATCCTCAGGTGAAGGAGAATTACACCAATTTTCACAAAAGTTCTGGTCAAAAGTCTTTCAGAGTGGTCTAATGTGAAATTCTCTATCAAAAACATTAGTCAGAAATATTTACAGGGATCAAAGCAACAAATGCCTCTAAAAGCTCACTCACAGAAAGTTATTACATAAAATAGTTACAGAAATACTTTGAAACACTACAGAAAGACTTTGTCTGGTGCCTGAGACATTGTACTATGAATTGTTTTGAGGTTAGCGTTTGGCATACAACATGCATTTTTATAACACATGGAAGATGAAGAGGAACATGCAGAGCCCTCTAAGAAAAACTGTGTATTCATATTTGGCATCAACTTTAATGAAAAAAACTCAACATCAATTAAAAACTCAGAAAACATGTGTCATTTTTGATAGCAGATAAAATAACGGGAATGTTTGCTTGGTAGTCATCTTGACCCCTGTTCCCAAATATGTTCCTCTACAAGTTCCATCACATCAAAAAAAACCCAAACAAACTATGATTTAGTTTACATCACAAAACTATATTAAAATAAAAAAAAACTGAATTAATATTAAAATTAAAAATAGAAAAGCATTTAAAATCAGCTAAAATGGGATCTGCATACACATTACACAATACACATTTCAGATTTTTAAAGTTCTGGCATGATAAACACATGATATATGGTTCTATACAGAACTATAGTGAAAATGTCTCTATTTAGCACCAAAAAAGGTTCTTCTATTGTTACAAGCTTGACATTGTTCTTTTCAGTGCTATGCAGAACCATTTTCAAATAAGCTCTATGTAGAGCTATGTACAACACATTCTCAATCAATCATGCAAAGAACCCTTTAAGCATGAAATGGTTCTATACAGAACTCATGCTTCTAAATGGGACCGACCCTTGAAGAAGTATTCTTTTTAAGTGTGAAGAAGAGAAACCAGCCTAACTGTCATCTGCGAATCGTTTTGTCTGGACTCGAAACTGCCACCGCGTTAATGACCGGATAGGATCAGATTAATATTTCATAGCAGATCCACTCTCAGAGGAAATCTTCAGCAGATAATGACAGACTCCCTGTTGTTTTTCTCAGGGAGAGAAGAAACTGACTGGATTGAGCTTCACACCAAATCAGGCCATCCTTGGCAGATTCATTTGGAACTAACTTTAGGCTCTCTGGCAGGTCACTCTACTTCATCTCGCCTTATTAAAGCTCACACTCATACGGCTCTGTCAGCGGCTCGATTAGCGCGTTAATCAGTCGGTGGAAAGTTCAGATTAAACTTCCCTGGCAGTGAACGATCTAGCACCAAAAAAATAATTAATAAATAAATAAATTAATAAATAAATAAATAAACGCACAAACGGCGCGTTTAAGAAAGTAACAGAGTGACTTACCTGTTTTTGCAGATTGGGGTCTCAGATCTCCGTCTCCGGAGAGACATCATTAGCGATGCAATGAAAAAACGTCGTTTGAATTTATCTAATCATCGACGGCTCGTTTCAATTTCACTCACAATTTTAAAAGAAAAAAGACTTAACTAGCTCGGCGCTAATACTGTTAAACCGACACCCTTCTGCGTGAAGGAGCTCCAGCGGGAGTGCCAGAGAGAGCCCAGTCACAGAAATTAGAGTGAGGGGGTGTTCCACCAGGCGGGCGGGCGGGCGCGGGCGCGCGCTCTCTCTCTCTCTCTCTCTCTCTCTCTATTCATTATCCATTTTATCAGATCCACTTACCACATATACGCTCCTGGGCAAAACGCTGAGCTTCTAATGGTTAAATGTTTAGGTTTTGCGTGTAAATATGCAGACAACCTATTATATGATGGCTTCATACAGATGAAAAACATTGCAGAGCTAGTTTGTATTTAATGTGAGACCAAATATTCTCTATAGGGTTTAAATGTGGACTATGACCAGGCCAAAACCATCAGTAAAAAGCATTATATTTTGGCATTTTTTGCCCAAGAGTGTTTGTAGTTCTTCAATTACAACCTGTATTCCATCTGTTTCTCTGTATACTTTATTAGCCCCCTTTCACCCTGCTCTTCAATGGTCAGGACCCCCACTGGGCAAAGTGACCAGATTTCTGAAACGAAAACCAGGGAAATTTCCAGTTTGGGAGTCAATACACACACACACACATTTTCTAAACCGCTCACCTTCTGGGTCACAGGGGGTGCTAGAGCCCATCCCAGGGGTCATTGGGCGGAAGGAAGGGAACACCAGTCCTTCGAAGGGCAGACACACAGACATATACAATCACCACTATCAGTACCCAGTGCACCACCATGTCGCCCATGTTACCGACTGGTTACCCTGCAGTCTCTCTAAATAGGCTCCAACCAATTCACTCATGAAGGAATGACATTGACTTAACCGTGGCTTTAGGTTCTCCATTGACTGAAATGTATTGCTTTTGACAGCTAAAGCCCTTAATGGCCTAGCTCTGGCATATCTTGTTGATCTCTTGAAGCATTATAGCTCATCCTGCAGAAGTGTGGACTTGAGTCACCAATTTGAAGACTTCAAACACGACTTTGGCTTTAACACTAATGACTCAGACCTGGACTTGGATTTGGGCCTCATTACTGTAAAAGACTTGAAACTCGCGAAAAACAGGAAGAAATTTGGTGAGGCTTGATCTTCACTACCTAGCACAGCCTACACCAACATAAATAGCTTTAGATATTCCAGCTTTTTCGTTGTTTGTCCTGTAATCGTGAACATCAACCAGTTACATTTCATAGCAGTAGAGAAGTATTTTTATTCAATTACCACTGCTATGATGCACATCATTTCTCCTGGTGAATCTACAGGATTCATAGTGTTCTGTTAGTAGCAATATCATGGTAGTGTAACTTTCCTACATGAATTTAACACAATTTATATATGTCTAGCTTAAACACTGATATTTGAAGCTTGTTGAACATGCATGTGACATATTGTTTACTTTGTATGTTGCAGTGTTTCAGTAAATCCTTTAACTTATCAGCTTTACTGATTATTAAGAGGTGCCTGTTGGATTTCTTCTCTTTTGTTCTCTACAGTGCTAATTTGCTTGCTTAGTCAAAATTTTGCCATACAAAAGTCCATGAAGGTCAATATTTCATGCTCGGCACCCTAGATAGTAACACAGAAATAAGTTAAATTTCCTACAACCCCATTTCCCATTGGGGTGCTGTGCAAGATGTAAATAAAAAGAATGCAATGGCGAGTACATCACTTAAATTCTGTAAATTCTTTCACTGAAAACAGTACAAAGACATCAAATGTTGAAACTGAGAAATTTTATGGTTTTTGTTTTAATATATGCCCATTTTGAATTTGATGCCAGCGACACATTTCAGAAAAGTTGGGACAGGGGCATGTTTGCCACTGTGCTGTATGACCTCTTCTTTTAACAACACTCCGTAAGTGTTTGGGAACTGAGTAGACCAATTGATGTAGTTTTGCAAGTGAAATGTTTTCCTGCTCTTGCTTAATATAGATTTTCAGCTATTCAACAGTTCAGGGTCTCTTTTGTCATATTTTTCATTTCATAATGTGCCAAATGTTTTCAATGGGTGACGAGTCTGGACTGCATGCAGGTCAGTTTAACACTCTAACTCTTACAGCCAGGCTGCTGTAATACGTGCAGAATGTGGTTTGGTATTGTCTTGCTAAAATATGCAAGGCCTTCACTGAAAAAGACACTGTCTAGACAGCAGCATATGTTGCTCCTAAACCTGTATATATCGTTCAGCATTAATGGTGCCTTCACAGATGTGCAAAAAGAATTTCCAAAAAGAACTGTCATTCGTCAGACCACAGGACACTTTTCCACTTCACCTCAGTCCATATTAAATGTCTATTTTGAATGCAGTGCCGCGTGAGGGCCTGAAGGTCACGGCCAGCCACTACTGGTATTAAGCCTTGCCCCCTGCATGCAGAGATTTCTCTGGATTCTCTTTTAATATAGTATGTACCATAAATGATGAAATCCCAAATCAAACCAAAATGATTACAGTAGTGGGATGGATCTGGGTTACTAAAAGATTAATAAACTGGATGAGAGCATTCCAGGTAACTTTGGAATACCTGCGTTTGAGCCAGAGACCATGCTGGAGCTTTCTATGCTGCTCAGATCCAGTGATATGACTAGACTGATGTATGACTGTACACCGTCCTTCATCTAAACATCAGTTAGATCAGGATGAAGAATAGGGTAAGACAAGCCAGTTCAGTCGGTACCTCATTTCAAAGTCCCCAAAAAACATGGTGCTGAGAGTAGTCTCTGCAACCTCTGCAGGTTGCAAATGTATGAAGAAAGATTGTGTAAGCTGTTACAGTGCAACTCTGTTTGCTCCTTTTATTCTACAGGATGGTCTAAAACAGTTTTGAACACTTCTAAAGATAAATCTGTCTAAAAATGTATCTCCTATTCACCTTTCACCCTCGTGGGCCATTCTTGCTCTTGCACACAGTACAGAGATGACAACTATGATTTTGGCATTCTGAGGCATAAGAATGAGTAGATAACCATTGCAGTTTGCTGTCTATGTTGCAGCATTTCGAGTAAAGGCAAAGCAATGCTTTAGGATGGGGTGGAAAACTAAGGGCTGGAGCCCAGCACAATTTGGTGATTTTCCTGCTCTAGCACACCAACTAATCCTGGTAATTAGCTGATGAGTTGAACCAGATGTGTATGGGCAGGTAAATCACCACACTGTGCAGGAATCTGGCCCTCCAGGACTGTAGTTTCCCCTGCTTTAGGAGAATTGATGATCTAAAAGCCCAAGATGCAATTACAGGATTGCTTTGTTAAATACGAAATACAAAAACATGAAATCCATAGACAAGTGCAGTATGGTGTTCTACAAGGCTCTGCTGTAGGGCGCTTACTGTTCTCCCTTTATTTATAGCCCTTAGGACATAATTCAGAAATACAATGTTATTTGAATGCTGACAATACATACCCATACATGTATTACCAGGTGGTCATCCATCTAAGTTCTAAGCCGACTCAACTCTGCTTATTTTTTAAGAACAGTTAGGATTGTCAGGGCTCTGAATGTGATTCTAAGAGGGAACAACATGCCATACATGAGAAGCTGAAAGCACCTGACATATCCAAAACGATTTCCTATCAATGTTTAAACTAGGTCTGAAACATTTTATCATCAAAGACCAGACAAGACCAGTCGTGCTGAGGCGTGAGTGTGAGAAAACGCATATAGGATGTAGCTCATTAATATTTGTCCTGTGCTTCAACAACATATAAAAGCCAAATCCATTAAATGGGAATTTTGATGATTTTTAAATGTATGCATAATTAAATCATTAAAATGGAAATAACTCAGTGTACTTCTGAAACGTAAAATGTGCCATTCTAGAGGAACTTACCGAGTTAAAATTATTCATAGTGGAGGTGATAGGAACCAGACGTTTGAAGCATTTAATGACTCAAAGATATCTCACAAAAAGTTATTAAATGTGAAATTAATATGAACGTTGCCTTATGCCTGAGAATTTTTCATTTCATTTTTGGCAGAGAGGTACCGTACATATGGCATAGTCAGGCAAAATAGTAGCCAAAAAAACTTTTTTAACCAAATTATCAACATAATTTATAAAAAGGTTCACTGATAATTATAATAAATAAAATGGCTATGTTTGCATTGTAGATGTCACAATCCCCAGTTCCTATCACCAGCAATATACAGAAAACCAAGTCAGTAGATTTCTGTCAAACCATTACATATCAAAATACTCTAAATTTTGTTGTTTACATACCAAAATATGCTAATGAGTATGGCTGAAAGTTGTTTTATCTAGTATCTGTAGCACATTCAATAACACCTAGACCTTAAAAGAGCAATAACCGATGTTTACGACAAAAAAAAAAACTAAACGCAGTGTATAAAAGTGTCAGTGTCTTTAAGTTTCTTTCGTAACGTAGACTCACCCAAGACGAAGACTCAAATTACTTTGTGGGCATGTGTGAACCATTTTATAATAAGTAACCGTGGTTTCACACAAGAACAATGCCATATTTAGATCTCATGACAACAGTGGGTCAAACTCGCCATAGAAGAAAATGACGCTATGCTGGTCACCTTCCCGGGTTATTCAATTCAGTACCTGACAGGTGAGCTGTGTGTTGCTGAGTACTGAATAGAAAAAATTGTCAAGCATGGTCATCACTAGTCTTTACAAGCAGAAATGTCAGGGAGTCGGCAGCAAGTAAAAATATGTAAAAAATGCAAAATAAATGAAAAGAAAGAAAACTAAGAGATCAGCTTTGGCAAAGAGACAGGATAAACATGGGTGTCATGTTTTCTTAGTTGTGCTTCATGAAGGACAAAGGACTACAGTGTGACGCCAAAGTTGCTTGTGTTCTGCTGGAAAGGTTAAGACAAATATTTTATTTGTTGTCAGGTATAGTTGACATGACCAAAATGTTTTGCTGTTTATTTTTTTAAATGTATAAATATGCATTAAAGTGTAGTAAAATTTTGGTGCTAGCAGACACACTAACAGCATTTTTGGTACATACCAAGCAAATGCGAGCAATCAATCTAAAAACAGAAGTCGTCCATACGACTCTAATATAAGGGAAGGG